ACTGCGGGCCACCGACACACGCATCGATGTGCATATGTGTATTTTTGGCCCGCAGTAGCCAACTTCGGTCAACATCAGAATGGCGGACCATCCAAGAGTTTCTTTGTTCGTGACGATTGTCTCTATCTCTGGGTCCGGAATAGGGCTCTCTCTCTGTGTCTCTGTCGCAGTCGTTTTATATGTGTTTACTTGCATGCGTTCTGGCGTTCATGTCTTGCTTAATTCCTGGTTCTGACGCTTGCGTTTTGAAATAAGGGTCCGCCATGTCRGAGTTGTTCCGTGTTGTTCAGTGATGTATGGACTCATGTATGGGGGGGGACGCAGATGTTGAGTAGTAAATACTAGTGTTGCCACATTCCATTTACACATAGAGAGTGTTTGGTAGGTCCCCGTTGACGCCATTGTACGGAAGCAGTGAGGCTCCCTCTCTGTCTCTCTCTCTCTCTCTCTCTCTCTCTCTCTCTCTCTCTTGCTGTGTCCACGTATTTCTCTGTATATACAATGCTTTCCAGATGTCAAGGTTCACCATGACCGGACAGAAAAGAAAGCTGGGTGGAGAGTGTCATGCAAGGATAGATGAGTTCCTTCCCCCTTGCGGCCAGGGCTATAAGACACCTGAAACGGATCGAAACAGGGGTCGGACTGTAGTTAGCTGCCTATAGGCAGTCTAACAGAGGAGGTGCATAAGCAAAAAGTACTGCTTAGAAAGATGTCAGACGAACTACGCCGCCTTAAGTCGCTCCTCGACGAAATGAGAGAAACTGCGGAGCACAGGATGTTCACCGTGTTCTGGTTGTTGCTTGACAACATGAAAGATATAGACGTTACTCGTCTGAGGGAGGACATGTTAGCCAGACTTCAGGCAATTGCTGAAATGAAGAACACCACGTTCGACGAGTTTCAGGCATGGCTGGATATTGAAAGGGAAAGGCGCACCGCAGTCTTGAAGCGGTTTTCCGCCCACGTCACGAAGACAACAAACGGGGAGTTAGACGGAGGGGATGTCATGTGCCTTGCCAACTGCGGAAAGTGTGTGCTGAAGGAGGGGTGGGCATCGTACAATAGGCAAGATTACAACACAGGTTCGCTACCTACGACAGCACGCAGCGTCGTTGACCTCTTAGCCTTCGCCGAGGACTGCATTCGCCACTGTACGGAAACCGTCGAGAAGTACGGTCTGAGTGAAGTGGGTGTCGGGTCTGTTAATGACGAGCTTCCTGCAAAAATCGCGTCTCTGCTGAGCAATTGCGAAGACGTAATGGATGCCCTGCAACACAGTCGAGGCAGGTTGTTGGCTGGAGAACTGACGGTGACATGTACGGAAGGAGATGTTATGGGATGTGGAGAAGGTGAAACGAAGAAGGGAAGAGAAGAAGCTGACAGACCAATCGGAGTGTGTTCGTGGAAATGGGGCCACTCTTGGGAAGGATGCGCCTGCGCCACACGTCCTGTTGGCGTGCAGTGATGTTGTCGCACTGAAATCTCACCACGTGCGTCACAACTTCCCCTGCGTGCTTGCCAGCAAAGCACCTTCGGCCGGACCAGAATCTTCTGTACTGCCTATGACGACGCAAATTTTGAAAATTTCGTTGTTGACGCAAACTCTCGACAAATGACCAGGCTGGTCGCGGAATGTTTTTCCCATATAATTTCATATATCAAAGAGATAATGAGACCGGTGTTACTGAACGCGGACAATCATGGAGCAGAAAAAAAATGTGAATATTGCAGT